CTTCGATTAACACGTGCGTTTGGTCTACTAGGTGCACTAGCCTTACTTGTTTTTCATGGCCAGGTAGCCCTACCCAGTCTCCTTCTTCCAAGCGGGGGCCCTTCCGAAGGATGGTATACCAATGGAGTGGGAAACTTTCAATGAGCTCGCCCAGTGCAGGCCCTATGAAGTGGCAATACCGCAACCATCTACACATTCTTTTTGCGCTCTTCCAGTCCCCTACGCCCGTGTCCCAAAGGTCTCCCACCCTCTGCGCCCCGCGTTTCACCCAACCCTTCTATGGGGGGTCCAAACTACACCTCACACGACCGATGGAGTCCGTAATCAGTCTGTTACCAAACAGGGGCTCTCTGAATATTTCTTCCCACCTTTCCAGTGCCGATCGATGTAGAGGGGGGAATTTCCCCCATGTTCGTAGGAGGCGTAACCACCGCTTATCCGTGGGGTTCCTGTTCCTTACTTCCTTGGTAGCATCCAATACCTGTCTTCAAGCCACACCAGCGAGTCAGTCTCGGGTGGAGCCTCTGGGGCCAAGGCCGCAATTTGCGCCAAAGCTAAGGGGACCCAGGGGGAGGCTGATAAGAAAATGAGGTGTTGGAGCCAGCGAAAGCGCCCACACATTACTGTGTACGTAACCCAAGATGATGGGGTGCCAAACGACTCCGTCGATATGAGCTCTCGGGAGTCATCAGCCTGTTATCCCCAGCGTACCTTTGATCCGTTGAGCGAAAGCCCTTCCATCATTTTCAAGTGCGTTCTTCTGCCCCCATCTCTCCCATAGGCATCCATATACTTACTTCTTCATTTTCTACTTCTACTCCTCCTCCTCCTCTTCCCTCTGCTCTAATCGACAATTCTTCTTCTTCTTCTTTTTCCCCCCCAACAGCAGGCATAGCCATAGCCATAAGTCGTGATTGTCTGCTTCTTTTTCTTTTTCTTCTTCTTCTTCTCCCTCCCAAACAGCAGGCATAGCCATAACCATAAGCCGTGATTGTCTGCTTCTTTTTTTTTTTTTTTTTTTTTTTTTTTTTTTTTTTTTTTTTTTCTTCTTCTTCTTCTTCTTCTTCTTTTCCTCCAACGGTTGCCATAGCTATAGGCCCCGGTTTTCTGCTTCTTCTTATCCACCTCCTCCTCCTTCTCCTCCCTCCATCTCTACCATAGGCAGCCATAACAATGGTTTTTTTTTTTTTTTAACTTCTTCATCTTCTCTGTCTTCTTCTCCCCCAACGGTAGCCATAGCCATAGGCCCCAATTTTCTGCCTTTTCTTTGTCTTCGTCTTCTTCTTCTTCTTCTTCTTCACCTCCTCTCCCTCCTTCTCCCTCCATCTCTCCCATAGGCAGCTATAGCAGTGTTTTTTATTTTTTTTAATAACTTGTTCTTCTTCATCTTCTCCTTCTTTTTCCCCCCCAATGGTTGCCATAGCTATAGGCCTCAATTTTGTTCTTCCTCTACTTATTCTTCTTCTTATCCACCCTCACCACCTCCTCCTCCTTCCTTTTCTCTCATAGGCAGCCATAGCAGCCTTCTTCTTATCCACCTCCACCTCCACCTCCATCTCTTTGTTTTAATAACTTGTTCTTCTTCATCTTCTCCCCCAACGGTTGCCATAGCTACAGGCCCCAATTTTCTTCGTCTTCTTCTTCTTCTTTTTATCCACCTCCTCCTCCTTCTCCCTCCATCTCTCCCATAGCAGCCTTCTTCTTATCCACCTCCTCCTCCTTATCCGCCTTCTCCTTCTTTTTATCCACCACCTCCTCCTCCTTCTTCTTCTTCTCCTCCAACGGTTGCCATAGCTATAGGCCCTAATTTTATTCTTCTTTCTTTTCTTCCTCTTCTTCTTATCCACCTCCTCCCCCTCCTCCTCCCTCCATCTCTCCCACAGGCAGGCATAACAGTGGTTTTTCTTTTTTTTTAAATAACTTGTTCTTCTTCATCTTCTCCTCAAATGGTAGTCATAGCCATAGGCCCCGATTTTCTTATTCTTCCTCCTCCTCCTCCTCTTCTTCTTCTTCTTCTTCGCCCCCACCGGTAGCCATGGGGGGGGGCACTGCATAGGGAGGTGGTCGGACCAGAGCGGCTGCAACAGCAAAGGGGAAAGAAGTAGCAACTTTGTGACGTGCCTTGGCCAAGCACGGAAAGAACAAAGTCCATGGTGTGTACTGCAACTGTCGGCACCAGGAAGGCTACCCCAGGAACTGACCCAAGTTTGTTTCAGCCCAAGGATGAGAAATAACACATAAAGTGCAGAAGAAGAACAAGGTATGGCTCTGATGTGAGCAGGGACAAAAGGTTTTTGCCAAAGGACGCGGGGAGTACTGGATGCGGAATGTGCTCCGTCATGTTCAGGGGTTCAACCACAAAGGCTTAACATTTTCTCAAAATCATGAAGCCGTGTGCAATCCGGACAGGGGAGATAGTTCAAACTTTAGTTGATGCCGGTGCAAAGGTCCTCCCCAACGACAAGAACACTAAGTACCTGTTGAAGAACTACAAAGGGCAGGCTGACGACTCCCAACTTGTTAATGAGCTGATGACTTGGATGACCCTGACTTGGACGAGCCCCAACCACTGTCAGGGTGTTGTGGAGGTCTAGACCCACGACAGGTGCCTATCTACAGTCAACAACTAATTTATGGGATGCAGACCATCCTGTCTTGGAAGATCCCCCTCAGACAGCTCCTACTGCAGGTTCCCCAACGATTTCCTCCATCAGAGTCTGTCAACAACACCCTGAATGGTGCGTGCTCGTGTTCCTGTTTTGCCATTGCAACTGGTTAGCATGAAGATCAGACACGTGGCACGCTTATAATAAATTGGATGTTGATAGGGACGCTGAACCCGATTTCCAGCAGGTGCTGCTCCCCACCAATAGATGGAGCCTTCCTGAGCGTGCTAGAGGTGCCGTGCTAGAGGTGTTTGCTTTATCAGCACCTCTAGCATGTGATCGGGCTGTTTTCCAAAAAAAAAAAAAAAAAAAGAAGAAGAAGAAGAAGAAGAAGAAGAAGAAGAA